CTCCGGACTTGTAAACCGGATTATATTTGCAACGACCGCTTAGTCCTTTTTATAAGGCATAGTTGGGCGTGATCAAATTTTGGCGCCGCTGTTGGGGAACTAACGGTGTAGCTGTAGGTGTACATATTTCTAGGTTCCAAGTTTGAACTTTTATTTTTGTTTTAGTGTATTTGATTATTTATTTATTTTTTATTTTTTATTTTTGATAAGAGAGACATGGCTTCTTGGAATTATGAGAGTTTTGATATTGGTAATTCTACTTTTGATCCCCCTTGTGCATTTAGTGGAGGAAACCACCCAGCGCAAAATTATCAAAATATTTTCGAGAGCGAGTTATGTGCACCAACTCAATCTTATGTGTGGAATGTGTGCGATATATGTTGTGGTAAAGATGGTCACTTTCATGATTGTGCTTTTATTTCTTATCTTCCCCCAACCCCTTACTATGATGGTTTTACTTTTTCTTGTGAGGATAACAGGAACAAAGAACCTAGGGAAACTAACCTAAAGGAGATCAAAGATATATTAAAGTGTCATGTGGAACAATATGATGAGAAACCACGGCAGATACAAAGGTAAGAGGAAACTATTCACAACTTGGAGGCTCAAGCGAATAAATTAATTGAACCTTGTAAAGCCCAACAAGTTGCCATTGTGGATAGTAGCAAATATGAGTATGAATTGGCTGGAGAAATTGCCATTATACTGGAGGATTTAAAAAAATATGGGGATGAGTTAGAGGAGAAGGCCAGAATAGAACACCAACAATCAATCGAACTAGATTTTGATGATGTCGATGTCGTAGAAGAGATACTAGAGTCAACCAAGGATATTGAGGATACATATTTAGTTGACTCTAGTGTCATTAGTGTTGAGGATGTTGACAATCCCAATGTTTATGTAGTTGAGCGCATTGGTCCACACTCCAAGCATTTTTCCACATTGTGTTTGGATGATGATATGGAAATAGAGTCGGTCGAGTCATTTGAGGAGTCAAGGAGTAAGGAACAAGATGCCTACATTCTAGAATTCTTCGTGCCAGAAAGTCGGGAATACACATCTCATCCAAAATTCAAGAAGTGCAGAATACTACATTGTTTTATTGGGCTAGTCAGATTTGTTTTACCACCCCAGTAGCATGATCAAAGAGCAGAATCAAAACTTGGGGTCCAATTTATAAGTTCAAAGTGGAGGCAGAAAATGATTCGCGGCGTGCCGCGACGTTAAATCAAGCGCTTGTTGGGAGGCAACCCAGCTTTACTTTTTTTTTTATTATTATTTTATTATTTTTGTACTGTCAACTTTTGATTTTCTAGGAGCATGGAAAGAAAAGCTATTGGAAGGATGCAACAACAAATTAGATGGTTGGAACTAAGTGTGAGGTACCCGCACGAAGGACCAGGCTTGGGAGAAGTCTGAGTACCTCATGAGCTGCTAGTGCTTCGGCTTTTAGCCTACCAGGGAGTTTCTTTTACCCTCTTATTAGTATGGTGTGCATTGGGAACAATGCACAATTTTAAGTGTGGGGTGAGAAGATTGTTTGGGTGACTTTCTATGCTATTATAATTGTGTTAGTTTAATTGAATAATATTTTTTTAGAGAAACGAAGAAAAAAAGATTGGGCTTCCCGATGATGGATCTATTAGACAATTTTCTTGAGGGATTTAAGTCTAAAGGAAAAAAAGGACAAAAAGATTTTCTTTTTAGGTAGTGTAATAATTCTCCCTTGTTTTTTTTATATCGTAGTTCTTTTTCAAGGGTTTTACTTGAACCGGGTGTAGTTAGTTTTATTTTTTTAGGAGTAGGAGCTAGTGTGAGATGAATTGAATTGAAGCAATATCTCTTGACTTTGTTATGCCTTGAGAATAGTGAGTACTTTGGTTGTGACGCTTAGACTCAGTTTTTGACTTTTGTATAAGTACCTTAAATTGTATGATTTTAAATTACTTAACTGCTTTGAATAGAGTGTCTTGATAAATCCAATCCTGAGTGAGTTATGTGTCATGTGCGTGTAAGTTTTGTGTTATTCTATGCATTGCATTTGATGTCTAGAACTTGCCTTGTGTGTTTGCAAAGCGAAATAGTAGTTTTGTTCAGTCTTGGAATTGATATAGGTATTTCTTTGTTGAGCCATATATGTATATTTTACCTGCCTAATTGTTATGTATCATAGTTAACCCCTTTGAGCCTGTAATTATGTTTTCTGGGAAACCTCATTACAAGCCTTACCCGTTTGTTTGAATTAACCATCTATTTAAAAAATTTAACCTCTCATGAGCACTTGAATTGTTAGGAACTGGGTAAAAGTTAAATTGTGGGGTGTTTGGTTTTCCTTTTGAGTAGAACTAATGAAATAACGAGAAAGGTGCACTATGCTGAAAAAGTAAGAGCCACTTGATTTGAAAAAAAATGGAAAAAGGTGTATTATTATGAAGAATATTCCTTGATGGTGGCGGCGTTTGATGTAATTGTGCTTAAAGACGTATGAGGTAATATACATTGATGTGAAGGTGGAGTTTTCGTTTGACATAAGTGGGGTTTTAAATATTAAAATGTATGTATTAAAGTGCTTAGGGAGGTGTAGTTACCCTTATATCCAAATGTATCCTACCCGTCCCGTAGCCTACATTACAACCAAATAAAGTCCTACTTGATCCTAGACGGAATGAGCTCGATTAGTAGAGTAGTATACTACAGGCAAACCTATGGTGCATCTTTTGTGGCATATGAATGTCATTTCTGAGAGTGAGTGAATTCTTCCTATCTTGAGTTCCTACGGTCTTAAAATTTATTGTGTGTGAATAATGCATGGTACTTGCGAGGCAAATCTTGAGGTGAAGATGTTACGCTTTTGTGCTTAGTTTATTTTAAATATTCTTGGTGTGATGAGTTAGGAGAATTGTTTAAAAGGTCGTATCTATATAAAGTGTAGTTTGATTGCTCGAGGACGAGCAATGATTTAAGTGTGGGGTGTTGATGATAGGCTATAATTACGGATTTTAGTCGCTTATTACACTCTAATTTACTGCACTTCAATTGACTTTGAGCTATAATCGCTAGTGTTTTGCACTAATGTGTGTTTTATGCCGTGTAGGAGTGACTTCGAGCTATGTAGATGTTATGGAATGAATTCAAGTGATTTGGATCTTTGAAGTCTGAGTAAAATCCCAAGGAATTAAGCCGGGATCGTGTTCGGGGATCAACAGATGATAGTTAAGAACGAACTAAAAATCGAGTAGGTAGATTACGCAATGTCTAGTAAAATATACATAACTTTTCGCTCAGAACTCCATTTGGGATCCACAATATATGGTTGGAAAGCTAACTCAAAGGTTTACAACTTTTATGTTTTTTCTTTTTCCAAATTCTAAACAGAACATGGTAAAAAGTGCGCGGCAAGTGTGCGGCCGCGCACTGACCGCGCAAATGGGGCAGGTCAAAATCCACGGCCAATCTGCGGCCGCGCACGTCCTGTCTTGGAAAAGTGTCCTTTTTCGCGTAGGAGAAGGTGTAATTATTTGGGCCAGACCCTACTTAGTATATATACATTGAAAACGGTATTTTCAGGAGTTTTGACATAATTTAGACCTAAGAAGGCTAAGGAGATCGGGGATTCGACCTAAGGAGGAAAGAACACACTAGGAGCAAGGAGGAGAATTCTTCTACGAGTTTTTCACTTCCTTCTTCTTATTTTCATTGTTGGTTATGAATTATAATATTGTAGTTATGCATACTATTATGAATAACTAATTTGTTATCTAAGGTTTTGATGGAACCTCTTGAAGGATGATTTTCCTGTTACGTTAATACAGATTTGCCGTAAATTTTCTCTATTTGTTCAACTACGTGTATATGTGGTTGTTCAAGAGCTCTCAATCGACTGTGCCTATTTAGTGTGTATTACTCGGGAGAATGTGCATATTTAGGTAGTTGTTAAATAACATCACTCCTAACGTATACGCGGGATCAATACGGAGGGTTTAAAGATGGGATTAGGGATAACGAAACCTTGGTGCGATCCGAGTGAGCCGTACTTCATGCCAACTAGCGTAATTCGGGAGAATATGCCTAGTAAATTGTGGTAGTTACTCGAGAGAGAATTACAACACTCAGAGCGTTCATGATTGGTAGAGAAAACTTAGACAAATTTATAGAAAACGTAGCGGAAAGGATTGTGACAATAGGAGAAATCATAACTCTAGACCTCCTTAATCTTGCCTCCAATCCTTATCCTTGTTAATTGATAGTTTTATTGCTTTTTAGTATTTGTTAGTTAATTAGATAAAAATAAATATTATAATCTTTATAATTAGGAAATTGTTTGGACTTGTGTTTCTTGGTGATATTGAACAGTTGTAGCTAAGCCTTAGTTCTCTGTGAGATTCGACTCCGGACTTGTAAACCAGATTATATTTGAAACGACCGCTTAGTCCTTTTTATAAGGCATAGTTGGGTGTGATCATTCACCCAAATCAAATTTTTCAAATCAAGTTTGGGAATTTATGGTCAAACGCTAGCTAAGAAATTTACCTTTTAACATTAATTAACAATGAAATTAATAATGGATCCAAATTGGTTAAGAACCTTACTTGTCTACTTTACTAAAAATATATTGTCACAAATTAATACTCCCTCCAATCCACTTTAATTGATTTACTTGTTGACTAGTGGACTATTTCTGGAAGGCCAAAGTCTTGGCATACTTCAAGGCAAGTAAGAATTGGCAGCAGCCACTAAATCGAAGGCCAATTTCAAGATTTAGATACCTATTATTCAGTCATTGCTGCTTCCGAAAGCGAAGGCCTATATATAGAGAACAAACATAAGATGGCCAGGATTTAACTTATCACCAAACCCCACTAAAATCTCATGTCCTTTAACCCATAGTAATTTATTAAGTTAACAATTAAAACAATTTTGTTCTTTTTTCCCGAGAAATAATGCATTTTTGTTGATCTATTTTTGTTACTTGTTAAATCAAAGGCAGCAGTGTTCAAACTTCTTTGCTTTTTTGTCGGTCTTGAAAGTGATCCATTTACTTTAATGATCTCTCTCGGACTCTCTCCCCACTCTATAAATACTACCACAATATCCACTCCTCCATTAATTTCTTCATTCCGTTCTTCTTTCTCTTCTATTTTTCTGAGAAGATCCCAAAATGGAGAGTTTCAGTGTCAAAAATTTGCAAAGCCCACCTCGGAAATCTGACACATGTTTGTTGGGAACTCAAATTTTCCTGAGAATTTTGGCAACTGCATTCACATTGGCGTCCACTTTGATTATTCTAACCAGCAAACAGACTGTCACTGTATTTGGCATTGAGATGGATGCTCGCTATAGCTATTCTCCCACTTTCAAGTAAAGAATATCAAAAGAAAATATTTGTGGTTTTATTTCAAAGTTCTGAATCTGATTTTGCTTTGGGGGTTCTCTGCAGGTTCTTTGCTTTGGCAAATATCATTGGATGTGCCTTCTCTGTTCTGTCCCTCTTTCTGGCTTTTGTTTTAGGCCATAAGGGTTTTGACCCAAAGCACTACTTTTACATTTTCCTTCATGATTTGGTACGTCCAACTTTTCTCCTTTTCAATGATCAGTCACTTGTCAAATTAGCATGTCTAAAATATCCATATAGCGCTACAATTCATTGTGTTAATTTTAAATTGTTAGTAGTAGATCTGGATAAAGTTCTTAACCAATTTGGATTTAGGCAGACTCAAAGGTAATTTGTAAAGCAATTTGGGGCCTGAAAAAAGAATTCCTTTCTTCCTCACCCTATGGATTCACTCAATATTTTCCATATATATATATATATATACCTTTCTTCCCCACCCTAGAATCTCATACAGTATTTTCCATATATAATTTGGATTTGATTCTTTTCTTATGAGGCTTAAACCTAGACGTCATTTACAATACAGTTTTCTAGTTGTTGGTGAATAATGAGTATATAAGTTTTGAGAAAATTGTTCTGACAATTAAAAAATTTAAAAAAAAAAAAGCGAAAGAAAGAGAAGCTAGAGCCTAGAAGTGGTTCATTGGTTTGAAACTTTAAATTGTGCTAGTATGACTGTATGAACTTTTTTCCTTTTGTGGGCCTTTGGACTATTGTGACGCATAACGTCTTTTAGAATAGTCAATTTGTATTTATCTCCCATTAGCAGGGTATTTCTCAACTATGTTCACCAAAGCTTACATATATACGAGAAGAAATTACCTAACGTCTTTGTTTCTGCTAGGATTTGAACAATGATCTCTTATGGAATTAGATTTTTATCATGAGCATAATGTTAGCAGGAGCGGACCTATGTTGGGGGCTAGAGGGTCACCGGAACCCGTAAGCTGTATATATTTCATATATATATATATCTATAAATACAATGAGGACCTCTTAAATATTTTACGCGACCCCCTAAAGTCACAAAATCTGAACAGAGCAACTAGTTTGTAGAAGTGCTTAAGTATCTTCATTCTCTCGAAGACCCAATTTCGAATCCTACCTCAAACAAAGCTTATCTTTTTATTTTATTTTTTAGGTGGTGCCCCCGTACTAGTCAAACCCTGGGTTCACCTCTGAATATTAGTACATTAATTATGAAACATTTATGTGAATTAATGTTGGAATTTTGGTGTGATGACAGATTGTGATGGCAGTAATGCTGGCTGGATGTGCAGCGGCGACTGCAATTGGATATGTGGGGAAACATGGAGAAATGCATTCGGGATGGATGCCCATTTGCGATCATGTATCCAAATTCTGTCACAAGGTTACAAACAGTGTCATGCTCTCCTACTTTTCTGTGATTTGCTACCTTGTACTCACTATAATCTCTGCAAATCAATCCAAACGGATCCAAGTTTAACACTTCAGAAATATCTTAGCAGTGCCGAATGTCCAAAAAAGTTCGTTTTGTATCAAGATATCACAAGTAAAGACAAAACATTTGAGCCGACAATGTTTGATGTACTGATTTTACAGTAGCTGTAGTTTCTTTTGTCTTTGGTGTGTCAGCATTAGTGCCTTGTAATTGCTGCCTTGGATATAAAAATGATGTTAATATGCATAGTTAGTTACTTTAGTTGCGTAATTGTTCGGAGAAGTCAGTTACACGTGGGTCGTTTGATTGGAACGTGTAACTCGTTTGATTGGAATACGGTTTATGCCGGTATAAGTTATGTCAATATAACTTATATTAAGATAAGTTATGCTGGAATTAGTTATGCTGAGATTTTTATTTATTTATTGTTTGGTATGTTGTATTAGTAATGACAATTGCATAGTTTCTAAGAAGAAGGTATAAGTTATACCGGTACTTATTATCTCACCTTTTATAAGTTATAAGTTATCCCGGTGTTAAAATTAACACCAGGATAACTTATACCTGGTTTGCTAGCCAAACAGAGTATTAATGTGATATTAAATTTTTATACCACCATTATACCTTCTTATACCTCATACCAAACAACCCTTGAATCTTTAGGGATGTGAATGGGGTGACAAAATGGTTAAAAGAAAATAGTTAACCATTCATATTATCCACTAAAAAATAAGTTAGATAATGAACTTTTTAAAAACGGATTAAATATGGATAAGAATCACATTTATAAAGCCTCAAATTTAAGGTTCCTCAAGTCAATTATCCCAAAAGTGATCATACTCAAGAAACTCCTAGATGTGACATAGAATTTGCTTTAACCTTTACACGCGCGACTGAGAAGAAAAGTGAAAAAATTGATTAAATTGGACATATGTCATAATTGGGATATATTTTGTAATTACAACTATTACACGTGTATTACAAACTCTTTTCTTTCTTAGTTTTCTCTTTTAATTTTGCTCCCATGTAAAGAAAAGTTGACTTTAGAGAAAGTAAAATAATTTGAAGGCTATTACACTGTTGCAATAAAAATAGTGTGCAACTTTAAAGAATGTGAAGGTGTTCTTGAAAACAACCAATTATTTTTTAAAAATTATACAATGCTTTAATACACTAAAGCAAATAGTTGATAGAAAATAATCTCAGCATTAATAATAGACTATATTCAGTATTATTCTTGCACTACTAAAAAACTGTCAAAAAGCATCCAGAAAAATCGACCGAAATCGGTCGGAATCGAACAAAACCCGACCGATTTTCGACCGTTTTTAATTCGCCAAAAAAACAATGGTCGCTAATGTTTAGAGACCGTAATCGGTCAATATTTTCGACTGAAATTGATAGGTAATTGTTTACTTCAAAATACGAGTAACAATTAAATTTGATTTGTGGTTTAAAAATATGTGATTTAGTTCAATATCAATTAATAATCAAGAAATATGAAGTAGAAATGCAAGAAATAAGTGAATCAAACCAATGTTACTCGAGCTTAGTGACCTTGAGATGAACTAAGAGTGATAAAGCAAGAACAATAAATGTAAAGGACAATTTTGATGAACAGTAGGAGAGAAAAGTAGGATAATATATTCTTGCCAATGATTAGTTAATCTTACAAAATGATTGAGGTCCCCTTTATATAATAGGGGAACCCTAAATAAGGTATATTTCTATTTACAGTAAGGAATATTCTTGATACAACTGTCTAATCGCCTAGTACAGAATCATACAATCCTATTCCGGGATTTGCGCCATGATCTCGGGGACGTGGCAGGAATCTAGCTCATTCTATTACAAATCCACAACGGTACTATTTCGGGGTCGAGCATACTCGGCTTCGATATTCCTCGTACTCCTATCTCCGGGAATTGCATTCTGTCTCCGAGCTCGAGTCTGGTCCATCGAGCTCGAACTCGACCTCGCCCTTGAGCCTATAAAGAGGGTAGCCCTGATTTCTACCGTATACAGATTGTATCCGCGTTTCTTAGAGTATAACGACAAGAAACAAATTGAATCCTTAATTCTTACCCCGATTTGCCACGACATCATCATTGTGACGCAAGCGACTGAGGAAACAAAAGCTTGGAAGCTGGCTTTTCCCGAGGAAAACTTCGAGAACCTTTAGTGAGTCCGGCGGCGGGGAAGATTATAAGGGCGAAGACACTTTTGCCAATAAGGACCGTGCTGCTTAGGTTTCGTGCTCTTAGTAATTTTTGCTTTTGAGGTTGATTGGCCCTTTCGAGAAACTCTCGATCGTGACCTATAACTTCTTGTAAAAAGGTTTATACAAAGCCCCATTTTCCTTCCATGGCTTCCAAATCTGTTACCCTTTAGTGCGGGTCAAAGTGCCTTAGCATAAAACTGCCTTTGAATGTCCAAAGTTTGAGATGGTAATGACCTACAATAAGTTTTGCCCTCAAACATTTCTGATCAATGGTCCCCGAGTGACCTTTCGAACTTGAACTTAAGTAGCTCTTAGGCTCAACAGTCAATGAGGTAAGGTAGCCCTTGGGCTTGATAGTTGAGTGAGTGCTCGAACTTAAATCGAAAATAGCCCTTAAGCCTTATGGCCAGGTTAGGATTTGCTCGAACTCGAAGTAAAGTTAGCCTATAGGCTTTATAGATAATCCCCGAGTGAGGGTTTGCTCGAACTCGAAGTAAAGTTAGACCATAGGCTTTATAGATAGTCCCCGAATGAGGGTTTGCTCGAACTCGGGTTAAGATAGCCCTTGGGCTTTTATGATCGAGTGAGGACTTGCTCGAACTCGAAATAGAGTTAGCCCTTAGGCTTCATAGATAGTCCCCGAGTTAGAATTTTCTCAAACTTGGGTAGCCCTTGGGCTTAGTAGTCGAATGAGTACTTGCTCGAACTCGAAATAGCCCTTGGGCTTTATAGTCAAGTGAGGATTTGCTCGAAGTAGAAGTAAAGTTAGCCCTTAGGCTTTTTTACATTGGCCCTTAGGCTCTTTTATATTGGCCCTTAGGCTCTTTTAGGTCGGCCCTTAGGCTCTTCAAGTTGGGCCAATTCATCCTTTAAGACGGCTATAATTTTTCCCTCTTTTTGGCTAAAAGACTTAGTGAAAATTTCTTTATGTCTTAACATGTATTTTTTGTACCGGTTGGGTTTTTCTAAGGTTCAATTAACCAGAACCCGTTCGTGTTAATGCCTCTTGAGGCTTTTTAGAAGGCTAATGTTATCGAAGCCTTTAAATTATTCGAGGGATGATTTTTTCGAACCCCTTTTTGCTTTTGCCGAGGGTAGTTGAGTTTAACCGGTTTTTCAAAGTATTTGAAGGCCTTTAATTTATGGCGGAAGTCAGACGTTTCCGAGCTGCATTGTTTCAGCCATAACTTTTTACACGACCGTAGTCTTTAATATAGTCGTAGCCTTTTAATATGGCTGTAGCCTTTGGGTATGTCTCTTGGACTTGTTTCTTGATGGCCTCTCGAACATATTCGAAAGGTTATTCCCCAAGTATGATGGCCTTGGCCTGTATATCGGGGGTGCCTCTTTGAGGTCTTATGATTTCGAACTTGGATAGCTCGAGTAGGTAGTCCTCGAGTGTTCGAGGTATGCTTGCACTTGGGTTGAGATAGCCTGTGGGCTTTACTGATCGAGTGAGGATTTGCTCGAACTCGAAGTAAAGTTAGCCCTTAGGCTTCGTAGATAGTCCCCGAATGGGAGCTTGCTCGAACTCGAGTTAAGATAGCCCTTGGCTTTTGTATTCGTTATGGATTCCGGACGCCCCCGATCCGTGTTAACTTGGCTGTAGCCTTTTTAATTCGGAACTTTCCCTTTGGGATTATCTTCCATTTCACTTCGAGCTTGACCGAAGAGTCAGTCCCCGAGTGGGATGGTCGTGGCCCGTAAAATCGAGGATCGCCTTTTAAGGTCTTATGGTCTCGAAATGTTGGAAGTTTGAACTCTGTTATGATCTGCCCTTAAGTTTGTTTACACAATAAATCAAGAGTATGAAATAGAAAAATTTTCTAGAAGCATGAGATATCGGCAAGGAAAAATACTTCTCTCAGTGGACGATTATACATGCGCACATGCTTGACGTTAGGGCTTGAGTAACCTATATGGGCACGACTCATCTTACCGTTTGACCCTTACAACATTTTCCTATCGAGGCCCTGTTGTCATGGAGTAATTTCCTTGCAACAAAGTGGACATTCGAGGGTAATGCCTCCCAGATCTTGAGGCTTATCTCAAGGAACCTCAGATACCTTTGAATTGCCCTAAACCAGCACTAACAATGGTTGCCTCATTAAATACCTTGTCGGAAAAACCCATTTGGGACAAAAATCGGTCCAAGGGAAAAAAAAAGTGCAACGCGTGATTTAAGATTCAAAACTTCGTGCCGATCCTTGTTGATAGCCTGCAAGTGTTAGTCGAGAAAATAGATAGAATCGGAATGGGGTCATACCTTTATTCAGATTTTGAATATTTAATGTGATCAGGCCATCGTGAATTTTGACCTCGACCATTTCTCCTCTCACTTTGTACGAAGCCCAAACCCGCTGCTTTTATGGTCTCTGTTGTACGGTTGATATCGATCGCTATTCGACCTCGGCTCTCGATCGATGTCCCCTTTGATCCTACCCATAGTCCTGCTAGGATAAACGGACCCCGAAGGAGTCCCCAGTTGATCATCTTTGATTCTAATCTTTGACTAGTACCGATTATATATGTCGGCCCAAGTGACAACCGGGTAATCGAGCAAACTTTGCTTCAACTAACGTGAAGCTATAAAACTCGAGTGTTGAGACCTTGAGCGAAAGCTTGAACGGCCCATTCATTGGTGATCGGAGGCAAATTCATTCTCTCTACTGGGAATCGAGATACGAATCTCTAAGCATCTCGTTTTCTTTTTGCCTTACCTTGAAAAGGTCTGACTTCCTCATTGCAATTTTGATAGCTCCGGCGTGTGCTTTTACAAAAGAATCAGCAAGCATAACAAACATATCAATAGAATTAGGGAGTAAGTTATGATACCATATCAAAGCACCCTTGGACAGAGTCTCCCAGTACTTCTTCAGTAGTACGGATTTAATTTCATCATCTTTCAAGTCGTTTCCTTTGATGGCGCACGTATACGAGGTGACGTGTTCATTTGGATTGGTCGTCCCGTTATACTTGGGAATCTCGGGCATATGGAACTTATTGGTAATTGGCTTCGGAGCCGCACTAGAGGGGAAGGGTCTTTGCATGGACTTTTTAGAGTCTAGTCCTTCTAAGATCAGGGGTGCCCCCAGTATTTGATCAATACGAGAGTTATAAGTCTTTACTTTTTTGTCATTATTCTCGATCTTCTTCTCCCCAGACACAATTCTCTTAGTGAG